TGTTGTTTTTCTGTCATCTGTTTTATTGATCTCTGCTATAATTTCTAGTATTTCCTTTCTCTTATTTAGGGTTTAATTTGCTCTTTTTCTAGCTTTATAAAGTGGAGGCTTAGAGCATTAATTTTGGTTCATTCTTTTCTATTGTAGCCATTTAAAGCTTTACTTTTCTTTCTAATTAGTGCTTTTACTGAATCTTACATGTTTTATGGTGATGTGGGGTTTTTCCAGATATTTTCTAATTTCTCTTGTGATTTTGAAAATTCAATTCACTGATTATTTAGAAGTGAACTGGTTAATTTCCAGATTTTAGGGGATTTTTTTCAGAATTTTCAAAATTTATTTGTAATTTTAGTTTATTGTGTTCATAAATGCAAAATGTATGATTTCAACCTTTTATGTTTGTTGAGACTTGTTTCATGGCCCGGCATGTGGTCTATTTTGGTGAAAATTACATGTATACTTCAAAATAATGTGTATTCTATTATTGAGTTGAGAATTCTTTAACTGTCATTTAGGTACAGTTGGTCAATAATGTTGTTCAGGTTTTCTATATTCTAGGTTTATAGATTCATTCATTCTTCAAACATCATTTCTTTGTTTTCTGGCTTATGTACTTTCTGAGGAGAGGTATGTAAACCAAACACAGTCTTTCTTACCTTTGTTCTTCTGTACTTAATGTGTCATTTCCCCACCTGTTTTAAAACTTTGTCTTTATCAGTTGTTCCCAGCAATTTGATTTTGATGCACTTTGGTGTAAATACACATACATGCATATATCCTGCTTGTGGTTTGTTTAACTTCCAATTTCTCTTGTTATTTTTGTGTCTTTCTTTAAATACATATATATAGCATGACTATCTGTTTTCAGGTGCTTTTTGCTAGTTTTGTCACTTCTGGCATTTTGGATCTCTTTGTGTAGACTGGTTTTGTTTTCTTCTAGTTATTAAGTCAGGTTTTTGGTTCTTATCATGTCTAGTAATTTTTGATTGGGTAATAAATGGACATTATATTTTGTTGATGAGTGTCTGGATTTGGGGGGCTTTTTTCTTCTTAGTGTCAGTTTTGTCTTGGCAAATAGTTTAGTTTGCAGATCTGTTCAAACTCCATTTTTAAGTTTTGCTAGGTCTGCCTTCTTTTCCAGGGTGTTTCAGAGTAGTATTCATCTTTGCTTAATAACTCAGGAGTCCTCAAGGACACCACACTTGGACTGTTCACAGTTTGGATATTTCTCTGTCTTGTCTAAACTCCTGGAAGTGTTTATATTACATTTCCCTGGTGTCTGCCTGTCTCTCCCTCCTTCCCTTCCCTTCCCTTCCCTTCCCTTCCCTTCCCTTCCCTTCTTTCTTTCTTCTTTTTGCCCGTCTATGTGGAATTTCACTTTTCCTTTGTCTGGCGTAGTACTCAGCAAAGACTCAAGGGAACTCCTGTGTAGATTTTTGGAGTTCTTTTCTGCATTGCTCCGCGCCCCCCTCCTTTTTTTTTTTGAATTCAAGCTGCACAACCTGAAGGTGTGTCAGTTTTCCTGAACTCCTTCCTATCTCTGACTCTAATACTGTAAACTGCTGAGTTTTGTTTGGGTTTTCTCTGACCCTTTTCATGGTCTAGAAATCACCTTCAGGTAGATGATAACTCAGATAATTATTAAACTCACCTTGTTTGTTTTTCTTTTTTCAGAGATTACTCTTCTCTTACATAATGCCCAGTATATGGAAACAGTAGCTTCATATATTTTAGCCTGTATTCTAGTTTTAAAAAGTGGAAGTTCAGGTCTGTTCCTTGTTACTTCTTTAGGTTGGAAGACTAGTTATTTTTTTTTAAAGCTATAAATATGCTGTAAGCTTTTATATTCCCTCAGGAAAGATATATGACCATCTACTATCTTTAGTACATAGAAGGGATTAAATCTTTGTTAATTGGTGCTTTTCGATTAGGAAAGACATTGATACTTCCTGTGGTGAAAGTTTTTATTTTATATGCTTATTATACTCTGAATTTTAACAAAAATTTCTCTTGAGTAGTTGTGATCTGCTTTAAAAGATCACTATGAGGATTTTAAAAACCATTATTGTGAAAGAGTTCCATGGCAAGAAAGTACCAAAATTTAATTTGCTTGGCATTAACATTTCTTTTCTCATGATAGCATTCAACCGTGTCTAAATTATTCTGACCTTAGTTATTCAGTTTATAGGATTATTTAGACCTCTTTTCCTGCTCCCTTTCTTTTTATTCCTTGCTTTTATTTCATTTACTTTCTTTCTGTTCACATCTCTATTAGGGAGCCCTCATGAGGGGGCGAGGAGGAGAGCTAGAACACCTACAGATGAAACATGAATTTGACTTTTGATTCAGTTTTAATAATGTTTAGAAGTTGTCAAAAGTAATGTAAAATCTTATTTTAGATTTCCATGACTTTGGAAATAGAATTTTATTTCTTTTGGTGTCTGCTATACAGATGTTTAATTGATTATCATTCTTTAACTTGTCACTGATATTTGAACTACACAAGAAATGTGAACAATCTTATTGATGTTAGTCTGAACATGAATATGTTAGAGAAAAGACAATGGGGAAATAAGGTGACATTCTTTGTTTCCAGGAATCACTAGGTTTTGTACTAATTAGCTTTGAAAAATGTGGAGTTATTTGACAGACCAGATGTTTTCGGCATACAGCCATGTGTCTCATCAGTGAATGTGCCTTGTGTCTGCAGGCAACACTGTTAGATTTTTCTCATTCTGTAAACAATGTTCCAAAATATAACTAAACCCCAAAGTGTGTTTATCTTTTTGGCTTAATTTCTGGCTTTCTATCCATTCTAAAGTTTCTCTCTAGAGGAATTGCATTTTATTGCACATAGCTCTTCGTACCTAATTTTAGTATAAACACTATTCTGTTTACACTAAACCACGTGAATTACACTGTTTTTTGAGTCTACATTTTTAATAAAAGCAACCATTTCAGATCTGTACTTTTATTTGTAAATTTAGTAGAAATAAACCTTTCTTCCCTCCTTGTATTGGGAGTAAGATTTTGATTTTTAGAACATATGAGGGAGAAATAACAACCACTAACACCGCGCCCCCCCCCGCCCCCCATAAATCTAATCTCTAGTCTTTGGTATTTGTGGTACTTTGGTATTTGTGTATTGGAGCAACAAGAGATTAAGTATCTATTGTGAAATTTGTTCTTAAAATCTAAACTAGAGCTGTAAGTCATTTATAGGATTGGAACTGAGTTTTCCTATACTAAATATATCATTGGAAAGTAGGAAATTAAAAACAAGAAGAAAATTATCAACTATATGTTGCAATCCAAAGTAAAAAATCAATACATTTTTGTATATGTTTTCTAGTTATTTTTCTGTGAACTTATGTGTGTATATTTATTGATATTTAGCTCATGCATGCATACATATTCGTAATTTACACATGCATACATATTTATAACTTAAAAAATGTTATGCTTGTACTTGTAATTTCTATTTTTTGAAATAATTTTCATTCAAGAATATTGTAAACATTTTGCTATTTTGGTAGTCTTTTACTACACAGATATATCATAATGTGTTTAACCAATTCCTTGTTAGACATCTAGATTAGTTTTTTATTTGCTAACAAATATAACTACAATTCAAGAAGTTTATGCATATTTTGTACATCTAATTTTTTTTTGGAAGTGCAGCTGTTTAGAATACTTGTTTTGGTAAAAGTTTTCATTGGAAACGTGTATCATTAATGCAAATTTGTTTACCAGCTGGGTGTGAATTATCATTTATTAAAACCCATGATGATAATATCCCTTATCTTTAAGAATATCTTGGCAGTTTGAGTGACAAAATTATGTTTATGATTTGCATTTCTTCACATATCAATTCAACTTCTTTATTCATATGTTGGCCTTTTTCTTTTCATTCTTTTGTGCACTTTTCTTTGTTCATTGCTTTAAAAAATACCAAGTTTATATGTTGCAAAAACATCTTTATCAGGTTGCTGTTTCTTCTTTATTCTTATTTTTTTTTTGTATAACTTATTGTGTTTTTACCTAGTCACTTATTAATCTTAGTTTTATTCATTTTCTTGTGCTTATAGATGCTTTCCTACCTATCAGATAAATATCATCCATTTTATTATAAAATATTTATCTGCATTACCAGCAATATTTATTGTCTTAAGATCTATTTTATCTGCTATTAACATAGCTATTCCATCACAGTTACTTTTTGCATGCTATATCTTACTCCATGTTTTACTTTAACCTATTTGTATCTTTGAATGTAAAGTATGTTTCTCCTAGAAAACATATAGTTGGATCATGCTTTTTAAATCCTATCTGACAGTGCCTGCCTTTTGATTAGACTGCTTATTAGTCCATCTGCATTTAATATAATTATTGGTATGGTTGAATTTTGTTCTTTGTTTTCTATGTTTTTCATGTTTTCTTTTTAAATTTCTACTTTCTCTCATTTAAATACTTTATAGTATACTCTTTTAAAATTCCTGTTAATTTTATTTCATGATCGGTTTTCGAGTTGTTTTTTTAGAAGTTGATCTATGGATTATAATCTACATCTTAATTTATCACAGTCTACTTTAGGTCATTGCTGATATAATGTTGGACTATAGTAGTAGTTTTGCTTCAGTTTAGCTTCATTTTTTCTCTCCTCTTTTGTACAATTATTGTTGTGCATATTATGTCTATATATTTCAGAAACTCAACAATACAGTGCTATAATCATTGCTTTAAAAAAATCTTACCTTTTAATGAAATTAAAAGAAGAAAAGAGAAAATTATTTTTTGGTTATAATTTACTAGTCTTTTATTAATTGTTAATAATTTGAGATTTTCCATGTTTTTTTTTTTTTTTTTAATTAAAACTTAGTACCAGATTTGTCTTAATGTACTGTGAAAACTAATTCAGGCTAGCAATTTTGCCTGAAGAATATATATGTAACTCTAAAGAAGACTGAGTTGAGCTAAAGGTGATACAATTCCTCTTATAGGCATTATCCTGCCCTGAAAACTCTGGAACATCTAGAGCATACCTATCTGCCTCAAGTAAGCCACTATCGATTCTGCAAGGTGATGGTGGACAACATCCCCAAGCTTCGAGAAGAAATTAAGGATGTTTCTATGTCTGATCTCAAAGACTTTCTGGAGAGCATCCGCAAACATTCAGACAAAATTGGAGAGACCGCCATGAAGCAAGTAGGTCTCGGGTTTATAATAGGTTGGCCAATGACTTTGCAAGTGTTCTGTTAAACACAGGTTTCTGTTGCCAAGTGTCTTAATTGTTTCTTGTCATTTTAGGGAAGTCCTTCATCTTTATGGGAACACAGGATTTAGAAATGTATTTTATTTTATTAACAGAGGAACAAATTATTTACTAGTATATTTTTTTGCTGTTTGCATGTTCAGTAATTACTGATTGATTGTGATGGTTTATATTTGGGCTTTTAAGAAGTTTTCTATTTTTTTTAACATACTTTCCTTAACTTTGGATATGATTTGAAGCCCAAGATTTTTAAAAGTTCTCTTTTTAGTTAATGAGCTAAATTGTGCTGAAGCAGGTACCTTTGGTTGATAATTTACTGTGTAAGCAAGATGTCATGTTATATATGTGAATATTCCTGTAATTGTTATTTCTGATATCGTTGGACTTCAGTGAAAAAAGGCCTATTGGGAAATGCTGTGAATTATGATCACTGAAAGGGATTTACTTGCTGCTTATAAATTAAGAAATGTGTTAGGAATATTTAGATTTTTTTCTTTTAATATCTTCTTCGTTAAGTCACCAAAGCCACAGGAATGTCTGAATTTCTTTTGTCATTATGGGTAAAAGAGCAGTAATGATTTATTTATGTTGCTACTTGTGCTTTTAAAATTTAAGTCACGATGGTTTTATTAAAATTTCTCAATGTACCTTATGATGTAGTACCAACAATAAATGGAAGATTCACTTGTTTATGGAAAGTTTTTTGGTTCTGTAAACAACTGTGTCTTGAAAAAGTCATTTGTATTATTCTGTGAGAAGGAGAGAGTAGGTCATATTTGGTTTATATTTTTGGTCTCAGCTAGCCTTGATAATCATCTTTCAGCTGTCTGTCTGATTCTGCAAAAGAGATTTGCCTATTGGGAATCCCTTTCCTAAGAGAATGCAGATATTCTTTTCTCCTTTCTTCTTTTTAATTTTGTTATACTTTACAAAGTGGAAAATTTAAAACTAGTTGATGATAAACCTGATAGAAATAATCATATCACGTCATTTTCTTAGTGGTGAAGAAACAAAATTAATCATTGAAAATATATCTTTGCATTGCTGGGTGATGTTTTGAGTATAAGAATGAAAGTATCTTATAAGTCTTTATTGTGGTAACTATTTTTTCCTAAACTTTCAAAATATAGGAGAATATAGTGCAAAGCTTCTGTGGAAGTTTCCTTTTTTAAAGTTCCTTTTTCTAGGAATCTGCTGGGAAATTAACTATACTTCCTTTTTGAATAAGGGGAGAGTCCATGAAGACTGTTATTTAATGTGAGATTATTTGGTCTTACCCCTTATTTATTTGTAGAAATTAAGGCCCAGGGCGGAGAAGTAACTACGCAAATTCAGACAGTTTGTAAAGGTCAGATCCTGTAGTAGAATTCAGGTTAGATTGAGGTGAATTTGTCTACTGTGGCACTCTATCTGCGTAAACAGCTGTTAGCTATGTTTTTGTCCTGAAAAGAAATGATGAAGAAAGCTTTTGTGAATTTAGGGCTTATAATTAACTGATAACCCTTCATTCCCCCAATAAAAATTTCATGGCAGTGTAGCTCTTATTACATGAATTATTACCCTTTGCTATAGTATATTTAAGATCCTTGAATAAAGATATCTTACACATCTTAAAATCTTCTGTAGTACCTAAAAAGTAAGGAAAGTAGGAAGGAGAGAAAGTACCACATATTTTGTAGATAATGTTAAAAAAAATTCTTGTTTGAATTCATGGAGGTTGGAAAAGAGGGAGAGGAAATGTTTTATTTCTCACTTATGTCCATCTCCACATGGTGTTTCTGATGGTTTTCTTCACAGTGGTGATTTAGGGACTCTTTCCATTATGTGACTGTGCAATCTTTAATATGACTTTGAAAATTGCTGCAGAAAGGGAAAGACCAAAGAGTATTGCATTTGGAAGGAATTTTAAGGGAAGCATGGATGCAGCACATTATCACTTCTATTCACATTTCATTGGCCAGAACTTAATTACATGGCTATACTGATGTGCAAGGGAGGCTGGGAAATGTAATCTCGCCCTGTTTTGAAGAGGAGGACACAGGTTTGGTGAATAGTAGGTAGTCTCTGGCACAGTCTACCCCTTCTGGTCTTTAGAATATGTCTTTCTCTCATCCAAAGAACATATTTGCCCTTCCCTAAGAGAGGCAACCCAATATCACACCCAGCCACTATGCCCATTTCAAAGTCTAGTATCTTCCAGAGATGCTCATCACTCGCCATCAGATCCAGATGTGTCTCTTGAGGGGCTGGTGACCAGGAACTAGGGTGACAAGCTATCTGGATCTGTGTCCTCTCCTAATATATAAGGAAGAAGCAAAAATAGAATAATTACAACAAAAACTTGCATTTAGAAAAGAGAAGAATGGGAAACACAAAATACTCTGCTTCATAGCAAATCATGTCATCCTTTAGGGAAATCTTTTTGCCTTGGTAGCTGGGGAACTTCTTGCTTAGACATTGCTTCCTTGCTCATTGTTCTCCAGGGCCCTTGTCTGCACCCTCATTTTTCTTGTCTATTTTTTTTCTACATTTCTCAAGTGGATGCTGGAAAATATACCTTCCTTAGAAGATTTCTCTCTCTGTCTCTCTCTGTCTTTGTCTCTCTGTCTCTGTCTGTCTCCTTCCCACCCTGCCTCCCTCCCCACACATCTACCTTTATAGCTACAACTACATTTATATCTATCTATATCTTTCATTGCCTGCTTTCTGCTCTTGCAAGTTCAGGGGCCCAAAAGTACTTTTAAGGTTCTGAACAGTCAAAGGTTTATTTAGTCCAGATTAGTGGGGTTTTGGCATTATGGTTACCTCTAAACTCAGTATGCCTTTGATTCGTTTCTTTCCAACAAGTTCTATTTGGACATCATACCCAATGTTCTTTTCCAAATACAATTTTCAGGAATGTTTGGAGAGGTAGTGGAATTGAGGGACCATAGCCTTTGTCTCATGCTGCCTTCTTACTTTAATGCTTCTGTTTTGGGACTATATGAAACAATAGGTGGGAAGATCATATCTGAATCTCATTTTTGCCTCAGGATTAAGTCACTTTTTTCAACTAGAAGTCTTCTTGAGACTTTCTTCCTCAAACCTTTACCTTTCTTTCCCTTAACTGTTTGGGATCTGTATGTGTTCAGCTTTCCAACCCTGTGAAAACTGAGTTTCTGGATTTCTATTTCCTATCAGTTCAGGTTGTACATCAGCAGATTCGTTTCTACACTCATCTCTTTTATGTAATACCTTGCTAAAAGCAGAAAGTAAATGCCAGTATACATTGTCTTTGACTCTTCAGTCACTTATAGAGCCACAGGCCCAATAGGCATTTATTACAGGTTTCAGCTTCACCAGTTGTTTCTCCGCAGTACTACAGGCTCTCCAGGCTTTCCACTTGTGAAATATATATTCTGCTGCCAACTGCCTGATCTCTAAACCAATGCTGTTTATTTTAAGTTTTTGTTATTCTTCTTACACCAGGTTTTTTTTTTTTGTTTTTTTTTGTTTTTTGTTTTTTAAAAAACAATGCTTCCTGCTGTAATAGCTAAGCTCAAAAATCTCACCATTGAAGTTTTATTTTTAGTTCATGTAAAGTCCAAAGTGGATGTTCTGGTAGGGTGGCTCTTCTGCAAGTGATCATCAAGGATCCAGGACTCTTTCAACTTGTGGTTCTATCATTTCAACCTGTGGCTTCGAAGGTTGCAACAGTTGGGAAAAGAGTAAATAATGCCTGGAGGTTTATTATGGACCAGACTTATAAGTGATACATATCATTTTTGCCAACTTTACATTGACCATAGCTCACACACTGCAAATGAGTCCTGGAAATACAGTCTGTGTGACCAGGAAGAAGAAGAAATAGCTTTGGGAATAGCTAGCTAGTCTCTGCTACAACCTGCTATTATATAGCCTAGAAAAATATGTATCGTCCATGTCTCTTGTCTAGTTTCTTCACAGTTTCATCTTTTTGACATTTCCCCCATACGTTTGCCTCTAATTTACTAATTCAATTTTTAGCATTGTCAGTGCTGCTGCTATTCAGAGTTTTATCCTTATTATCATTTGTTCTTATCCTTAAAAAAAGTCTAAGTATTCTTTAGAATCATATGAAAAAACAATTTTGAAAGTCTTATTTATATTGATGTTTGGTCAGAGCTCTTCTAGAAATTATGTAGGCGAATATGCTTTTTATTGGCGGATGTCTTCCTTTTTCTTTTTCCAACCACTGTATCCTGAGTTGCTACAGTGATGCGTGGGTGGGCTTTGTCCTTGATACAGTGAAGTGATGGAGGCAGTTGATAAACTGGCTTCTTTTTGTGATACGCCACCCAAAACAAACTACCAGAAAGTCTCCAAAATAATTAAGCTTTAATGAGCAAATTAAGCTTCAAACTTTTATCTGAGATTATAATTTAAAACTGTTTGTTGTTTAATTTTATTAAAAGATACAATGTAAAAAATACTATTTGAGGATGATCTGAAGGATATACTTATTTATTAATTTAACTATTAAATAAATATCTTATATATTTCAGGTTTTATATTGTATGTAGGTAAAACTTTATCAGAGTAGGAAGCTCTGCTTTGATTGCATGTGGTAGGCAGAATTCAAAGATGACCCTCCTGGTCTGTATATCCTATAAAATCCCCTCCCATTGAATATGTGGGCCTGATCTAATCAGGTGAATTCCTTTAAAAGAGGAATTCAAAGTGGTAGCAGATGCTCTACCTACTGTTGGTCTTGAAGAGGAAACAGACTTCCATGTTTTAGATTAAAAGCATTTAGTGGACCCACCTGTGGATTCGGCCATGGGAAATAGAGCCATTTTTACAGCAGGTAGAAAAATCCCTTCTTTTATCCTAGCTCATTTTCTATGTTGATCTTCCTCCAGTGTGCTTCCAAAGTACTGTACAAATCTGATTTTGGAATTCTCATTTTAGCTCG